ATAAAATGTTACAGATTAAGCATATCAATTAAAAAGTAAACAGTTAAAACAACATCTATCTGCTGAAACATTCATATGCAGGGTTTATTCTGGACAGTACTGTTGGTTTTTATACTTAAGTACATTTAGGTGACAATACTTTTGCATTTTTATTGAAGTTTTATTTTGAATACAGGACCTTTAACCGTTTTATGCGATTGATTAAGGACCTCAACAATATGTTTTTGCTACTTTGCAAAACCATCTGAGTACTTCTTCCAGCACTGTTACCTAGTGTTAGTCTAGTGTTAAATGGTACAGTTAATTAATCGTGTTAAAGACTCACTGTATGTGTCCCTTGTGTGGACTCAGCGTCTCCTCTGCTGTTCTTCTTCGCGAAGAGCAGAGCCTGAGCTCGGTCCAGAGCAGAGCTTCGACCTCCTCGTTTCCACATCTTCAAACTGACGCTCTTCCCGAAAGCTGTTTGGCTAAGTGTCAACTAATACATTGTTTAGTTATTTTAACAGGAGCCAGCCAAGTTTGTTAAGTTTTCATCCTTCGTTCATGTTAGCTAGCTAGCGGCTAACTACACATAGTGTACTTGAATAAAAAGTCCGTAATATATTCTTTTGGAGACGCTTCATGACCCTCTATAGTTTAACGTAAAGTGGTGTACCAGCCTCTACCTATATACTTCCTACTTTGTAGATAGCAACTACTCTGGCGTCCCTTGTTTCCATGGAGGAGCTTCCTCCTTCTTCTTCTTCTTCTTATTCTTTCTCTTCTTCTTCTTCTTCTTCCTCCTTTTTTTTTTTTTTTTTAAATTTTGATTGGCGGTTGGCAACCAACTTGCAAGTGCATCAGCGCCACCTACCGGATTGGGGTGCGGAACATTAGATTGGCAAGAAAAAAACGACAAAAAAATAAAGTTAAATTTCTCTATCAATCGTGTTTCTTTGAGATACTTGATTAGATGACTATACATTCCCCCTAACGCATCTCCAAGGAGGTTCTCTATAGAAGAGCCTTCTTCTTCTTCTTCTTGAACATAGATGATATTTATTTTCAGAACAATAAGAAACAGTTATCTATTATTTATCTTTTTATTGGTCATATTCTTATGCCGGCTGTTTATGACACTGACATTACTTTGAAACACTTGCAACATGGGTCCTAGTCAGTTCTGCATATTTGACACCAAATTACACCTCAGGGCAAAGACAAAAATCAGCTGCTTCTCTGTGATAACCATGTTTTACAGCAGTTATTTTAAAGTGCTGTAAAAATAAATCTGAGAATGATATGTTGAGGTGAATATCAGAACTTTTTAGTTTCTTTAGTAATAACCTGCAGCCAGCTGCAGAGACATGCTCAAGTCCAGTTCTTCCTTTCTGTTTTCCATTTTTCCCGTGGTCGCTGACTGTGCCACTGCGTTTAAGTCAAACATTCCTCTGTTTTGAGGCATTCAGAATCGCCTAATGCTGTTTGCATCCTGCAGACTCAGGTGGTTCACAAAATGAGTATCTGAGTCTGCACCTATGTGTAATAACAATGATCTTATTTTATACTGTATGTACTATGCTGTCAACAATGTAAAGGAAAATGTCAGTACTGTTTGCACTTCTCTCAAAGAACTTCAGTCATTCAGGCAGTTCCATTAACATTCGTCACCTTGGCCTTGGCATAGTTCCTGTATTATTCAATGTACTGTATGTTATTATGATATTTTCTTGTGCCCTTGTGTATCCATGTATCAAAGTGCTGCCTCTACAATTACAAACAAAATCCCGCTAAATTTCATTTTAGTATCAGCAAGGACACCGCAGTCATACCCTTAACATATGAATTTGGTTGTTTTAGCTAAAGCTAACCTACAGCTGTAACCTCCAGATCAAAGCCCACAGACCTGAGCTGCTGCTTGAAAAATATAATAAATAAGAGACCTTGGATAACATCTTAAAATTAACATTCATTCATGTCTTAAAGCTTAAAATTTGTACATTCAAGTTTGAAACTTCAGTAAATTGTGAACTTGAAGAATTTGCTTGGAGGAAATTTGGGAATTTGAGGGTGCTACACCAAAACTAGGGAGTGAAGTGTAGCAGGATGCAGGTATGATTTGCATCTTTAAGATATTTTTCTCCTCTGTGACGTACTTGCTTGAAGTGATTAGTAAGTTAGGGTTAAGTGATGTGACATAAATGATCTGATGTCAAGGGAATAAATCTATGTGATTCGTTGGATGTTTTTCTGATTGAACTGACTGAAAACATCCAGCAAACAGAGAATAAATCACCTGCACAGCTCCAACAGCAGCTTTAGTGCTTGGAACTCATAAAAAATGCATTACGTAAGGTAAGAGAAAAATAAAATTCAAAGACATTTCTCAAGATACAGCAAGATAAAAGTAAAGCTAAGCATCAGGGGAAGAGGAAGAGAGAACACACAAACATGTAGTCATAACTTTAGTAACTTTGGAAAATACACATTAAGGCAAGAGGCACTTGAGCTGACAAATATTTTGCTCTAAGTACAAGCTTATGAACAGATACATGAATATTGTTAAAATGAGCTGAGAGGTCATGGCACACATGAGAATTTTTTAGCTACAACATGAGGCTATCAAAACAAACTGTTACAGGACAAGAGCGTCAGACTGACAGCTGAGATGTATCCAGACTGTCACCGCTCTTCATTTTTCACAAAGTACAGAATTGATGTATGCATATGTGACATGGTTTATCTAATTTTTGGTTGAACACAGGGAAATCAACAAGTCAACAACATTAATCCACCTATTATCATGCCAGTGGTTCCTGAACTTTATATGTCCACATTAGATGAAACACAATGACTTTTATAGCTCCATTTCAAAGACAAATGTGACCATAACAAGTTTCTTGATTAAATGCTCTTAAAAGCAGCTGTGTCACATTGTGGCTCCATTCATGGTGTCAGAGACAGCCTGTTGCCAGCATGCGCTGCTCTTGTTTTCTGCTCAATTATCTTTAAATGCAGCTTATTTTAACTGGGTAAGCTTCCTGTCAGCTTCTGTGTAGCATGAAATTCACTTGTGTGTGTTATAAAATGCTAGCCAGTTGACATGAATTAAATACTTGACTGTGCATTCAATTGTTATTGATTCTGTATTTATGTATAGCAAGACTATTTTTTCTTGTTTATGTCACACAAAGAAGACAGCTGGGGCTGATTGGAGCATGATTACTTTGTGCAGGTATCTGGTCATAAACCAAAGTTTTGGGACAAATCTTGAAAAAAATGACCTCATGATGGTGAAAAACAACAATTCACACCCAAAAGGATGTGTACCAAGTCTCATGGCATTTCATCCACTAGTAGACATCTCACTCTAAACCAAATGTGGACCTCATGGTGAAGTCAGAAGGATTCATCCTCTGTGTGATAGTGTCCAGAGGACCCCATTCCTATCCTCAGTAACCACGACGATCAAAGTCTTATAGATAAGGATACAGGGAAAGACATAATTAAGAGAGAACTGCCCAAATCCAGTTCCAGACAAAGATGACCTAGAAGTACAACAAAAGGCAAGACACACGTAACAATAGATAGGTAAGACAGGTGACTATGTTCAGGTTTAGAGTCTTCACACAGACAAGCATTATTTGGAAATGGTACAAAAAATGTGAGATGTAACCATGTGTTGCTGTGAGTTTTATACACCCTGTTAGAAAGGATTTCTTCAGGAACTGGTGTGGCAGTACTCCGGCACTACTTTTCTCCTTGATGCCTTGATGTTTTCAGTAAATACTTCTGCCAAAGACATCTGAATCTGAATCTCCTGGTGAACCCCTTCCTTCCATTCAGAAGAATTTCACACTCTGGAGACCTTGACTGAACAAAGTTTTATAAAAATCTTTCAAAATTGGTAGACTGACAGACTGACAGACTGACAGACGCTGCCATCCCTAGGCTAAAAATATTGGCAAAACAACTCTGAACTATGTTGTAAATATGGCTGCTGTAGAACAGGCTGCATGAAGATGCTCTACTTTAGAAACACTTCCAGTGGGCATCTGAAATGAGATATGATGCAACTGGAGCATGATGGAGCTGCATCCAGTGGAGATCTAGAGTTAGTATCACACTTGGGTTTGGGAGAGACAGATCAAAAGCAGAGAGGGAGATATCTTGACTTTAGTACAGGTCGAGCTCCAAAGACGCTTGAGCCTTCAATTTGCATAATGCATTCAATAGTGAAACACCCACACCTTTCATCTAAGTCCTAAATAATCCTAATTTGTAACATACATTTTCTGTTATTTGTTCTTCATCTAAAACAGTGTAAAAAGTGAGTTTGTGGCCATCAGGCTGTGGGTAAGCTCAATGCCCTCACAAATTTAGACACAGCTCTTCAGGCCACAACGTTTTTTTTCTTTGTTTTTCAGGTTTCTGAGTCTATGATGTCAATCATTACTCATCACTCAATATAGTAAAGTAATTTCTCATTCTAAAAATAACTAATGAAATTTAGTTAAACATAAAATGCAGGAACAGCAAACTCTCAAACAAACTTTTGGGGAATTGCTATGGAAATGGGCTCTAAAAAATGTATCACAACTCAGCCCTTCTCATCTATTCAAACCCGATTCAAACCATTTATTTTAAATGATCTGTATTCAATACTCTATATTTTGGACCTAGCCAACATCATTTTCCAAAGACCCGTTACTGCAGTCTTACCACCATGAAAATATTTGATTGTCAATCACAGTCTTTAAATGTTTTGTTGACTTTCCTTCAAGCTGCCTGTAATAAGGCAACAAAACAGTGGGAGCAATCAAACCAAACTCCAACAGTTTTCAATGAGAGTTTTGTGTTGTTCTGACTCTCTGCAAAAGACACGTTACAAAAGCACATTTAGAAACAAATAGTATACAAGACTCATTAAAGTATAACTTTATAACTTTTCTCAATTAATACATTTGAACTTTGAAACAATGACAGTTCCTCTTAGGATTGGTCCGATGATGTGGAATTCTACATTCAGCCCAACCTGTAGCCTTCTGAAGAAGAAGGATAGTATCGCAGAAAACAGGTAGGCAGCCAGCATAAAGGAATCAAAGTAAAAGTAACTGGTCAAAAAGTCAAATAGTCCCCATGTCTACGCTGGACCCTCAACGTTAATAGACGTCACAGTAGCCATGAAGCAACGCTGGAAAAGGCGGTCAGGATCTGGGGGCTGGTTGTCACAGTCCAGCTTCCCCCTCAGGAAGTGTTTCCTGAAACCTTGAGGACCAGCAGGTGCGCTGGCATGACTCTGCTCTGGTCCCTGTGGACTTGGTGTAGAACCTGTAAGGCAGAAAATCCACTTAGAAACTTGTGAGTAAAGAGCCTGACACACAACAAAGCAAGAACACCATCAGATGTAATGTTTTTTTTTAAAGATGTTATATGCCAGATCTTTTTTTTGAAAGCATGACTTAAACAATCAATCAATAGAAAGGTGTCACTTCTGACACTCCGATGTAGAACTAGACTTCCCCTCAGCTTTACGTAGCATTATAGCATATTTCAGCTTATTGTTTTGGGTTTCAAGCCCCCAGCTTTAATATTTTGGTTCACCCTCACCACTCTCTCCAACATCATGTCCAGACACAGCCACTAGCTGTTTTCAGCCAAAAAGCTCGACATGCCCAGCAACAAAAATCAGACCGACATGGTTAGCATCTAGCTGGTGCACATAGTGGATCATTTAGCTGCAGAAGAGCCAGATATTTCCCTCAGGGGTTGTGGAAACCAAAACAGAACTAACAGAAGTGCACCTCACACCCTGGGCAACTTCTGCAATGGAGAGAGTCCAGAGCATCCAGAGCTGTGCATGGATGTGAGTCCAACTATATCTAGTTGGTACTGCTCCACCTCCCACACCAACTCCTGCTCCTTCCTTGCCAGAGAGGTGACATTACATGTTCCTAGGACCAGTCTATGACACCAGAGATCAGCGTGCCTAGCTTGCCTGCCACCCGAGTCGCACTGCACTTACATGGCAGTCCTGATAGTTTAATAGTTTTGTCATTATTGTCAAAATAAATGAATAGGCACAAAAAAGATGGATCATCAACCATGTGAAGAGTGTTCAATATATGAGCAGTTTTAAGATAAGAAAATAACAAACTCACAAATCAGAGTAAAGTCTAGTAAGGTTCTTTCATTCACAATCTTAGGGTCAGACAGTTTATGTCACACGGTATCTCCTAAATAATTCAGTGTATTTTATTGATGTGTTAACAGAATTAGATGTAGTCAGTACCTGGTGCTCGGAGCGGCAGCCCATTGTCCAGACCTTTGGGTTTGGTGGTGATGAAGAGGTAGCAGAGGACACACACAGTGATGATGAAGGCAAGAAGAACCACAGCTGCTACAGAGAGACCCACCAGAGCTCCAAGACTAGAAGACACAGAACAAAGATGCAGAGGGAGCATCACCTTACTTATCCTCTCAGAATACTATTCAGTAGAAAGGAAATAGAGCAGATGATGCATCTATCTGCATCAGTTTGAAATGTTGGTATTGTTTAAACTTTATAAATGTGTTTCCTTTATTTATTTATTTTTATTTATCTATTTTTTTAAAAAGGAAAATTTAAACTAATTGTAAACCTGAATGTTTTGGTCCATAATGACTATTGGTCTTTTTCTTTTTTTTGAAATTTTTGTAAAAAATCTTGTTGTTCAGTGCAAATTCAGAAATATCCTAGCTTATCATAAAACAGCAATAGCTTTACATCTTGGTTTGTGTATGTGTTTAAAACAACACAATCTGTGGACGAGCGAGACTAGCTGTTTCCCCCTCAGTGGTTCCCATTCATTGATTTATTTGTGCCTGTCACAATATTGACATTGGGTGCTCTCAAGCCTTTTTTTCCACAGCCATGCCCAAAATATCAAGTTAATTAAATATCAGATATCAAGTTTCACCACTTCTGAGTTTGTAAGTACCCCTAGCAACCGCTAACCATGCTAAAAGTAATTCTGGGAGCTATAGAGCCGTACCAAGCCTATGCCCAATTACCATATCAAATCAATATAGTTTGAGTAGTTTAAACATGGATAACAAGTTGTAAGTAAGTTTTTATGCATCCTAAATGCCTGAGACAAAAAAAACTCAAAACAAGAATAACAGAACTGGAACTGAAGAATCCACTAAGATCACAACAATGAGAAAGCAGCAGATATGACAGCAAGCATCCAGCAGAGATGGGAAATCCTCAAGGAAATAGTAATGGTAATACCAAAAACAAAAAACAAAAAAAAGAAAATGGTTTAAAATCAGATTCCCTGATATTTCACTCCTAATTAAAGAGCACCCACACACTTATACTTCCTGTACTCTCAAAGGATGAAATATGCAAGATGTTAAAAATATGTTTACCATCCTTTGTTTCTGGTGTGCTTCAAATCTGCAGCAGCATGAGTGACATGTTCTGCATTCAAACCTGAAGAGTGTGTTTCAGTGGGATTCTTATTACACATAATAACAGAAAAAAAGATGCAAAAACACCAGGCATGAGCTGCCTCAAACATGGAGAAATAGAAACACAACAATCTGGATGACATATAAAGCTACAGGGAAAGTGAGGAAAGTCAAATATTGAAATTCAAAAAAAATAAGGAAGCAAATAAATGGAGGTTGATGCATGTAGAGAAACTGAATTATCATATAAAATATAGGGGAAAGTGATCTTCAATTGCTCCAGGAGCGTTCATGTAGATTCCTGCTCCCTGACATAAACAGTAGATTGTGTGCTTCTCAGGTCATACATATATATTTTCATTTTAACCTTACAGATCCTATTGCTAAAAAGTAGACCTACTGAATGTGATCTCCAGTTTTGAGCTGAACATCTGTCTGTCTGAAATCATGCCTGCTGTTGCACATCGCGCTCTGGAGATTTTATTCAGCATAATGAGAAGTTGCGAGTAGCCTTGACTCTCCACCACACATCTGACACCAATGGTTGGCATTAAAAAAAAAATCTGTGCAACACGTTAATTTCACTGCTTTTATTAGCCCCTCCTTACCTTAACCACCACATGTATCCATATTCGTAGGGGAAAAAGCTGTTGGGGTCATCACAACAGTACTTCAAGTCACTGAACCCGCAGCAGAAAAGTGCCGCGGTGTCATTGTCTGCTCTCGGACACGTGAAGCCCTCCACGTACACGTTTTCTTGGCTGTAGTAACTTTCGCAGTCCGAACCCATATCAGACGCAGACTGTCCGCACACACACAGTCGGTTGAGGTGAGGACATTAAAATCTCATCCCGTCCGTTTCCCATTGCTGCAACTTCTGATACAGGAGCTGCTGGACTGAGACTAATGCACCCCCCACCCATCTCTCTCTCTCTCTCTCTCTCTCTCTCTCTCTCTCTCTTTCTCTCTCTCTCTCACCTGAGATTCAACAAAGATCGAGAAATAATAAAATGAAGCCTGAGGTTCCTAAAACAGCTACGTTTGAAAAACTCCTGAATGTTTCCAAATGTACTGAATTACATAAAATATAAAATAATGTCTGTATGATCTAATGCAGTTTTTCTGATGCATTTGTCGCTTGTTTTCACCTCATAATTGTTCTGTTGAAGAAATCATTTTATGAAATGTGGCATTGCCAATCTTTTCTATTTTACTGCACTCCCAGGGTGTGTTTAGACAGGGTGTTACATGTTCAAATTTCATTATTTAAAGCAGTCATTAGAGGCAGTGAGACTGCACATCTGCATGAACAGATAGGAATCAGTTAACACTAACTTAGCATTCAGATACTTCACTTGTTTTTTCCACCTAAGTAAGATCATGGTGGCATACAAAGTTAATATGTGCTTGATGAAACCATAACAAGGGCTCAGCCTTCTCAATACAGAGATAAGGTAAACACATATGATTAAATAACGATGCACTGATTAAGTGAGCAGTCAGTCATAATGAAATTAATCAGGACTTACTGCAGCAGCAGTGCCTAATATAAGCCCAACTGCTTTAAGTGTCATTAAGGCTTGTTCATCAGGACAAAGTTTTAAGTATGAAATCTGCAAAGAAATGAACCATTATTAATGTATATATAGTGTGCTACGTAATGAGTTTAAATACATGTCATTATCTTATAAAGGTTAAGACGGTCTACAAACAAGGCAAAGAGAGCAACTTCCCTGGGGCCCCAGGCCTCGAGAGCCCCAAAGATACAGGTGAGTCAGCTGCTTTAGTAGTAGATAGTTTCATTTACACCAAAGAAGCACAATAGGTTTTTGAGGAAGAGGTGAGCATGCTAAGCCTAATAACAAGTTGGAAACTCAGTGGTGGTGACGCTGAAGTCATGTGACCGTGGTGTAGTTGGCTGCTGGCGGTTGTATTTAGGTGATGTTCATTTGTGAAAATCTTCCTCCTGAACACAACTTGTAAGTATCATAAACTTTTGTTTGTCACAGAGCTTCTTTTTTTTGCAATAATCAAAAAGCCAATGTAAAAATCCCATTGGCTTTTTGTTGAGGGAACCAGGGTGATGCTAACTTCCTGGTTAGCATACAAAAATAAAATAGTCCCTGCAGCGCTCTCTCATTGCATGATGTAGTGGAACTGTCTCACACAGAGGGCCTGAGTCAAAATCTATTTCTATCACCTTTAATATTGTTGTTTATTGTGTGCTCACATGTTGCATTTTTTCGAAATGGTTTATCAGATTACCACAAACTGTACTTGGTGGTTTCTGATGAAAATATAGTAGGCGCTGTACTTGATTGGAACTTAAGATGTATTACACATATACTCATAGAACTGAAGTTACGTCCAGGTAACTTATAACTCTATTTCGAGTTCTCATGTCCGGTCGCTGCGTCTACATTCATACAGAGCAGTGATTGCTGTGAACAGGAGGTCTGCAGTGTGATGCTTTTGCTAAATGTGTGTTACTGAAGAGGAGAAGACTTATGACAGTCTCTCTTCAACTACCTCCATGTTGTCCTCACTCTCAACAGTCTCCACTGTCATCAGAAAAACACAAGTGAGCAGTCACAGTTCTTGTGTACAGTGCACTGTAATGTAACACGGATTAGTGCAACTCAAGTACATATCACTAAAAGTTGCACAGCAAGGTGCAGAACTTTCTGACTTCATTGGTCTTGAGATTTATCAAGGCCCCTCTCCTTCGATTGCTCAGTTTTGCTGGGCGGTGAGCTCTAGGAAGAGTCCTGGTTGTTCCAAACTTTCTGCGATGTAATAATTATGGAGGCCACTGTACTCTTGTGAACCTTCAATGCAGCAGAAAGTTTTTGTAGCTTTTTCCAGACCCGTGCCTTGACACTCCTGTCTCTGTGCTCTGCAGGCAGGTTTCTTCCACCTCATGGCTTTGTTTTTGCTCTGATATGCACCGTCAGCTGTGACACGTTGTATAGACAGGTGTGTGCCTTTCCAAAGTGCAGTCTCAGATTTTACACAATCAGCTGATATCTGAGACGGCACTGATCTGAGTTTGTGCTCCAGTGTTTAATAACTGAACAACCCAAAGAGGAAGCTGATATTAAAGGTCAACATGTCTAACTCAAATGTAACATCCTAACTGTGACTTGTCAAATACCACATGTCCAAGCTGCGTTTTAGAACAGCATCACCTTCAGTATCACCGACATGACAAAGGTCACGCTATGCAAACAACAGTGCAGGACAGTTTAACAGTGTTGATTTTTCTGTGTGTGGCTTTTACGTTGGACGGACCTAACATTTCCTAACGAGGAAAAGAAAACAGATAGTGAGCGATCTTTCACCAAATAAAATCATTATTATTATTTTTTTATCCGATTACTGTCAAAATTTGACTTTATGATATCTGACATTCTGAGTGAAAATGTCACAAAATGAGTGACTTTTTTTTATCAAAAAGTACTTACATTACACAAAGCACAGGTGTATGTAATAAAATTAATGATCAATTTCACTTGGCTGCTTCAGTTTCAGGATCTAGGTGCAGTACACGCTGTCTCACTGTCACAGTGCCATGGCTTAAATAGAACAGACTAGACTAGACTAGACTAGACTAGAACAGAGGCCTCATTAGTGTTATTAGCGACACATGTGTCATCCTTCCATAGCGGGTCAAAATGTTTTCCATTAATAGGCTGCTGGTGATGTAAAGCTCTGAAAGGAGACATTCGGCATGAAGTCTACTTTTGCCTTTCAAACTTAAAGAACAGTGTGCAAACTTAATTGTATATTTCATTATTAAATTGATTAATTAATTGGAAATTGAACTGAATGAATTAAATGATGAAAGGGAAGGACAGAAACCTGGATACTTCAGCGCACACCTCCAGTACCAGTCTAGTTGTGAAACTACATGTGTTGGCGTAGCCAAATAAATGATGATATAAACAAACAAATCATAGTCTGTTGTTGCTTATTAGCTACTGTTCACTAATATGGTGCTTGCAGAACGGTTGTATACAAGCTATACCACACTTGATGCTGTGATCATATATACAGTATATATATGAATTTATGTTTTTACAAGTGGAGAACTCAAAATTTTTGCATGTAATAAAAAATTACTTTAAAAATTTGTTTTTCTCGACTGCCAAGACGCACTAAATGAAACTTTGATCCTCTTGATCTTCATTATCACTTTCTCAGCACAGAAGTACTCTCTTACAAATGTATTCAAATGTATTAACATGTTTTCCTTGGTTTCACACATTTTTACATCCATTTTCAAAACAGTGAGAATATAATAGAAAGATCCAAAACTCTGTAGGATGGCAGAACTAAAGAAAACATCTATTCACAGCTGAGAGAAATGAATGTGTAATTATGAATCTCTAATGCACCTGTGTGAAACTCCGTGGCACAACTCTTCACTCAGCAATCATTCCTCATTCATCCATGAAAGATGCTACCTTTGTATTGCTATTTGCAAGCATGAACCAAAGGGGCCAAAGACACGGAATGACAGGAAGAGGAGTCTAATCTAGAGGACAAAAGCTGCAAAGTCCTTGACTTTCAAATGAAATATAGGCAACAATTATTTACCTACACCAAGGAGGTTATGGTTTTAATTTTTGTTTGTTTGTCAGCAGGATTATGAGAAGGTACTGTAACAATTTGTAGCATACTTAGTGGAGGGATGGGGGATGGGCCTGGGAAGAATCATTAAATCATTAAATTTTGGTGCAGATCCAAGAATTTCTAAAAATCAATTTCCTTAACACTGCAAGATGGGGCATTTTTGGACAGTTTACTCAATTTCTCAGAAAATAATTCATGGATCTTGAAGCAAAAAACAGACATATTTATGGTTTGGAGCTCTATGAGCTTGTACAATTTGGTGCGGATCCAGATAATAATCTGGCCATTCTAAGCATGACATCAATCATGGCTTGTTCTTTAGAGAGGCTGGACAAAGGGTCCACCCCATTTCTGAGTATTTGCACTATAGCATCTATTGTCACAATTTTTCAGAATGAGAAAGTCACAATGTTACTGTGTATTTCAGCTTTACTGTACTGCCTTGTCGGCAGATCAGGCTGCTGTCGTAGATATGGTTGTGGCAAACAATGCGATCAGGCTGAATGAAATCCAGGCAGCGTACTTGCAGATCAGGGAGCATTTAGAAATATCAACATAGTGAGTTTGGTTCATATTGACTGAGTCCTCAGAGAAGCCATGTCTGAATGATTGAAACAGCTGCAAAGACTTTTTATTCCAAAGAAACTCTTGAATAATTGGAATAATTTACTTTATGAATTTGCTTTTTCCTCAGAGAATAATGGAGCTTGAAGCTGAAGGGAAACATCACATTAATGTGGACGAAGCTGCTTCAAACTCTCTAAAGTGAAGAGACATGAAAGGACCATCACTGTTACAGTTACAGGTCAACTAACATCACCATGTGTGATGCCATCTCCAATGATGTCCCTCCTGGAGGCAATGAATGCCGGTTGCCTGGCAATTGATGCAGAGGACTGCCAGGGATGGATACGCCATGCAGGGAGGTTTTTCCCCTCAGTCCACTGCAAGGGAAAACATCCAAATACAATGGTGATGAGAACCTGAGGCTTAATCATCAGGACCAAATGGACTAAATGAATCTGATGCAGTAGAATAAAACATTTTTGCTCTAGTATTTCTGGTTTAATTCTTCATCGGTTCTTTGGTGCAGAAAGAATGCAGAACAAAAGCTGTACCATACTGAATGTCTGAAGGCATAATCCTAACTGTGGCAGCCCGGGTTCGAGTCCAACCCATGGTTCTTCGCGCCACATCTCTCTCACTGACTTTCCTGTCTCTCTCTCACTCTCTCTCTCACTATTGG